ATTATTATTGAAGTGTATTGTATTGTACTGGTAGTACGGGATATCCTCATCGGATCCTATACAAACCTACAGTCTACCTCTATTTTATAGAAGTTGTTCTAAAAATGTAAGATTTGAAGAAAGGTATTACAATTTTTATGCCACCAGTCACTGTAGTTATTCATTTATTTAGATCAAAAAATCTTAAACATCTTATTTTATTAAAATATTCATAAAAATAAACACCATTAAAAATCTAATATAATAAATCCATGGAATAAAAAAAATGAGAAAATTGGTAATTCGTATTATAACTTATTGAGTAGTATTGATCAATCAGGATATCCTCATAAGATTCAACACAAAACTTTTCATTTTTGAAAAGCAGTAACTTTCGAAGTATAAAAACTTAACAATTATATTCGAATTTTTATTAAATTAGTCACTATAAATTTTCTATTTATTTATAACAAACGAGTTTTTAACATCTTATGTTACTGAAATATTCATGCAGATTGAAGATATTTTTTTTTTATAAAAGGAAAAAAATATGTTTCCTTCTTAAAAGTTTCAGCAAGCATTTATTCTGAAGTGAATACGAAGTATGCTTGATGATAATTAAAAAATCAAACGTAATTAAGAAGTAGAAGAAAAGAAAAAAGATATTTTAGTTAATTCTTAACGGGGCATATTGGATTGTATTGGTTAATCGAGATATCCTCATAAGATTTTATTAAAACCAGACATTTTTTTTTTGTTTTAATTTAAAGGAGTTACCAGATTTTAAAAGTTCAACAAATATATTTGAAACATCGATACAAAATACAAATAATTGAGAAAAAAAAATATTAATCCATTTAATTGATAATAATAAAGGCAATAAAAGCTCCCGAAACTTGTAAGAAAATGAACGAAGATGAAAAATTTTAATATAATAAACTTTAAAAAAAAGGAAGGGTTGTTTGTGAATTATTATTGAAGTGTATTGTATTGTACTGGTAGTACGGGATATCCTCATCGGATCCTATACAAACCTACAGTCTACCTCTATTTTATAGAAGTTGTTCTAAAAATGTAAGATTTGAAGAAAGGTATTACAATTTTTATGCCACCAGTCACTGTAGTTATTCATTTATTTAGATCAAAAAATCTTAAACATCTTATTTTATTAAAATATTCATAAAAATAAACACCATTAAAAATCTAATATAATAAATCCATGGAATAAAAAAAATGAGAAAATTGGTAATTCGTATTATAACTTATTGAGTAGTATTGATCAATCAGGATATCCTCATAAGATTCAACACAAAACTTTTCATTTTTGAAAAGCAGTAACTTTCGAAGTATAAAAACTTAACAATTATATTCGAATTTTTATTAAATTAGTCACTATAAATTTTCTATTTATTTATAACAAACGAGTTTTTAACATCTTATGTTACTGAAATATTCATGCAGATTGAAGATATTTTTTTTTTATAAAAGGAAAAAAATATGTTTCCTTCTTAAAAGTTTCAGCAAGCATTTATTCTGAAGTGAATACGAAGTATGCTTGATGATAATTAAAAAATCAAACGTAATTAAGAAGTAGAAGAAAAGAAAAAAGATATTTTAGTTAATTCTTAACGGGGCATATTGGATTGTATTGGTTAATCGAGATATCCTCATAAGATTTTATTAAAACCAGACATTTTTTTTTTGTTTTAATTTAAAGGAGTTACCAGATTTTAAAAGTTCAACAAATATATTTGAAACATCGATACAAAATACAAATAATTGAGAAAAAAAAATATTAATCCATTTAATTGATAATAATAAAGGCAATAAAAGCTCCCGAAACTTGTAAGAAAATGAACGAAGATGAAAAATTTTAATATAATAAACTTTAAAAAAAAGGAAGGGTTGTTTGTGAATTATTATTGAAGTGTATTGTATTGTACTGGTAGTACGGGATATCCTCATCGGATCCTATACAAACCTACAGTCTACCTCTATTTTATAGAAGTTGTTCTAAAAATGTAAGATTTGAAGAAAGGTATTACAATTTTTATGCCACCAGTCACTGTAGTTATTCATTTATTTAGATCAAAAAATCTTAAACATCTTATTTTATTAAAATATTCATAAAAATAAACACCATTAAAAATCTAATATAATAAATCCATGGAATAAAAAAAATGAGAAAATTGGTAATTCGTATTATAACTTATTGAGTAGTATTGATCAATCAGGATATCCTCATAAGATTCAACACAAAACTTTTCATTTTTGAAAAGCAGTAACTTTCGAAGTATAAAAACTTAACAATTATATTCGAATTTTTATTAAATTAGTCACTATAAATTTTCTATTTATTTATAACAAACGAGTTTTTAACATCTTATGTTACTGAAATATTCATGCAGATTGAAGATATTTTTTTTTTATAAAAGGAAAAAAATATGTTTCCTTCTTAAAAGTTTCAGCAAGCATTTATTCTGAAGTGAATACGAAGTATGCTTGATGATAATTAAAAAATCAAACGTAATTAAGAAGTAGAAGAAAAGAAAAAAGATATTTTAGTTAATTCTTAACGGGGCATATTGGATTGTATTGGTTAATCGAGATATCCTCATAAGATTTTATTAAAACCAGACATTTTTTTTTTGTTTTAATTTAAAGGAGTTACCAGATTTTAAAAGTTCAACAAATATATTTGAAACATCGATACAAAATACAAATAATTGAGAAAAAAAAATATTAATCCATTTAATTGATAATAATAAAGGCAATAAAAGCTCCCGAAACTTGTAAGAAAATGAACGAAGATGAAAAATTTTAATATAATAAACTTTAAAAAAAAGGAAGGGTTGTTTGTGAATTATTATTGAAGTGTATTGTATTGTACTGGTAGTACGGGATATCCTCATCGGATCCTATACAAACCTACAGTCTACCTCTATTTTATAGAAGTTGTTCTAAAAATGTAAGATTTGAAGAAAGGTATTACAATTTTTATGCCACCAGTCACTGTAGTTATTCATTTATTTAGATCAAAAAATCTTAAACATCTTATTTTATTAAAATATTCATAAAAATAAACACCATTAAAAATCTAATATAATAAATCCATGGAATAAAAAAAATGAGAAAATTGGTAATTCGTATTATAACTTATTGAGTAGTATTGATCAATCAGGATATCCTCATAAGATTCAACACAAAACTTTTCATTTTTGAAAAGCAGTAACTTTCGAAGTATAAAAACTTAACAATTATATTCGAATTTTTATTAAATTAGTCACTATAAATTTTCTATTTATTTATAACAAACGAGTTTTTAACATCTTATGTTACTGAAATATTCATGCAGATTGAAGATATTTTTTTTTTATAAAAGGAAAAAAATATGTTTCCTTCTTAAAAGTTTCAGCAAGCATTTATTCTGAAGTGAATACGAAGTATGCTTGATGATAATTAAAAAATCAAACGTAATTAAGAAGTAGAAGAAAAGAAAAAAGATATTTTAGTTAATTCTTAACGGGGCATATTGGATTGTATTGGTTAATCGAGATATCCTCATAAGATTTTATTAAAACCAGACATTTTTTTTTTGTTTTAATTTAAAGGAGTTACCAGATTTTAAAAGTTCAACAAATATATTTGAAACATCGATACAAAATACAAATAATTGAGAAAAAAAAATATTAATCCATTTAATTGATAATAATAAAGGCAATAAAAGCTCCCGAAACTTGTAAGAAAATGAACGAAGATGAAAAATTTTAATATAATAAACTTTAAAAAAAAGGAAGGGTTGTTTGTGAATTATTATTGAAGTGTATTGTATTGTACTGGTAGTACGGGATATCCTCATCGGATCCTATACAAACCTACAGTCTACCTCTATTTTATAGAAGTTGTTCTAAAAATGTAAGATTTGAAGAAAGGTATTACAATTTTTATGCCACCAGTCACTGTAGTTATTCATTTATTTAGATCAAAAAATCTTAAACATCTTATTTTATTAAAATATTCATAAAAATAAACACCATTAAAAATCTAATATAATAAATCCATGGAATAAAAAAAATGAGAAAATTGGTAATTCGTATTATAACTTATTGAGTAGTATTGATCAATCAGGATATCCTCATAAGATTCAACACAAAACTTTTCATTTTTGAAAAGCAGTAACTTTCGAAGTATAAAAACTTAACAATTATATTCGAATTTTTATTAAATTAGTCACTATAAATTTTCTATTTATTTATAACAAACGAGTTTTTAACATCTTATGTTACTGAAATATTCATGCAGATTGAAGATATTTTTTTTTTATAAAAGGAAAAAAATATGTTTCCTTCTTAAAAGTTTCAGCAAGCATTTATTCTGAAGTGAATACGAAGTATGCTTGATGATAATTAAAAAATCAAACGTAATTAAGAAGTAGAAGAAAAGAAAAAAGATATTTTAGTTAATTCTTAACGGGGCATATTGGATTGTATTGGTTAATCGAGATATCCTCATAAGATTTTATTAAAACCAGACATTTTTTTTTTGTTTTAATTTAAAGGAGTTACCAGATTTTAAAAGTTCAACAAATATATTTGAAACATCGATACAAAATACAAATAATTGAGAAAAAAAAATATTAATCCATTTAATTGATAATAATAAAGGCAATAAAAGCTCCCGAAACTTGTAAGAAAATGAACGAAGATGAAAAATTTTAATATAATAAACTTTAAAAAAAAGGAAGGGTTGTTTGTGAATTATTATTGAAGTGTATTGTATTGTACTGGTAGTACGGGATATCCTCATCGGATCCTATACAAACCTACAGTCTACCTCTATTTTATAGAAGTTGTTCTAAAAATGTAAGATTTGAAGAAAGGTATTACAATTTTTATGCCACCAGTCACTGTAGTTATTCATTTATTTAGATCAAAAAATCTTAAACATCTTATTTTATTAAAATATTCATAAAAATAAACACCATTAAAAATCTAATATAATAAATCCATGGAATAAAAAAAATGAGAAAATTGGTAATTCGTATTATAACTTATTGAGTAGTATTGATCAATCAGGATATCCTCATAAGATTCAACACAAAACTTTTCATTTTTGAAAAGCAGTAACTTTCGAAGTATAAAAACTTAACAATTATATTCGAATTTTTATTAAATTAGTCACTATAAATTTTCTATTTATTTATAACAAACGAGTTTTTAACATCTTATGTTACTGAAATATTCATGCAGATTGAAGATATTTTTTTTTTATAAAAGGAAAAAAATATGTTTCCTTCTTAAAAGTTTCAGCAAGCATTTATTCTGAAGTGAATACGAAGTATGCTTGATGATAATTAAAAAATCAAACGTAATTAAGAAGTAGAAGAAAAGAAAAAAGATATTTTAGTTAATTCTTAACGGGGCATATTGGATTGTATTGGTTAATCGAGATATCCTCATAAGATTTTATTAAAACCAGACATTTTTTTTTTGTTTTAATTTAAAGGAGTTACCAGATTTTAAAAGTTCAACAAATATATTTGAAACATCGATACAAAATACAAATAATTGAGAAAAAAAAATATTAATCCATTTAATTGATAATAATAAAGGCAATAAAAGCTCCCGAAACTTGTAAGAAAATGAACGAAGATGAAAAATTTTAATATAATAAACTTTAAAAAAAAGGAAGGGTTGTTTGTGAATTATTATTGAAGTGTATTGTATTGTACTGGTAGTACGGGATATCCTCATCGGATCCTATACAAACCTACAGTCTACCTCTATTTTATAGAAGTTGTTCTAAAAATGTAAGATTTGAAGAAAGGTATTACAATTTTTATGCCACCAGTCACTGTAGTTATTCATTTATTTAGATCAAAAAATCTTAAACATCTTATTTTATTAAAATATTCATAAAAATAAACACCATTAAAAATCTAATATAATAAATCCTGAGGCACAAAGAGAACATTCAATAGGCAGACCAAGTGGTGGTCTTTTAACAGCTGTTAATAAAAAGCACTCCGTTTTGCTGATCGACGCTTCACCATGGTGGATCTTAAAGGAAATCAAGCTTGGAGCTTCAACAATCATACTTGGGTCTGTATACTTCCGTAAATGTTTAGACCTTCATTATTTATTAGATACGTTGCAGGATATTATCGACGACATCAGAGCAACGCGTAATTTTGACATCTTTATTATTGGTGGTGACATGAACGCCAAAGTTGGTCTACTAAATCCCTGGCCAGCCGACCTCTTCACTGGATCTCAACTACATGACACTTTTTGCACTACGGATGATACTACGTGTGAAAGAGGCCGGATGATCACGGATTTCATGGTCGAAAACGACTTTGTGCTCATTAATGGAAGGTCAACCAGCGACAGCCCTGCTCAACCAACGTATGACAACCTAGGTTCATCAATCATTGATCTTGTGTGGACTGATATTTCTTCCTTGCATCTTATAAAGGATCTTGAGGTTCTCTTAGAGCCATCTCTGTCGGATCATCACCCAGTTTGCCTAAGCATTTCATTGGAAGCCATTCTCCACACAGAAGAAGAGTTGAAAACAAGAGATTCGGGACTCAGTAAAATTAAATGGGCTGAAAGTGCCGCTGATCAGTACCGAGAACACCTATCAAACCGACTGACTTCTATGGATGCTCAGACCCTCTCTACAGAAAAATTTCAGGCACTTTTACACGATCACATGTTCTCCGCTGCTACCAGTGCTAATCTGGTCGTTAGATTCGGCTCCACTGCGCGCAACTGGACTCTCCGCAATCCCTGGTTTGATGCAAGTTGCAAGGTAGCACGAAGTGAACTGCGAAAGGCCATGAAAAATCTAAAAAAAGACAGGAGTAACGCTGGTCTCAGGAACGAAGTCACCCTAAACAAGAAAAAATACCGAGAAGTCTGTAATGCTAAGAAAAAGGATCATGTAGATTCCATCAAAACGGCGTTCGATAACGTAAAAGCTCCGTCCGAGTTTTGGGCGGCCGTCAGGAAGTTCAGCTTTAAACACGGCTCTAACTCGGAAATTTCTATCACCAGCTGGAACAATTTTTACTCAGCGATTTCCAAGCCAAGATCTATTTCAGCATTCGTACCGCATAACTGTACCAATGAAACCTTGGACGCGGAAATCTCGATTGGAGAACTCAATCGGACACTAAACTCACTAAAAGCTGGTAAAGCGGCAGGTCCCGACCTACTAACTAACGAGCTGTTTAAGAACTTACCAATGCAACACAAAGAACTCCTAAGAGACCTATTTAATAGAGTACTCATTGAAGAAAGAGTTCCGAAAAGCTGGGCAAAGATTTGGTTGACAATGCTGCATAAAAAAGGGGCCAAGAACGACCCAAATAATTATCGAGGGATTGCCCTTATCAATATAGTCACCAAAATCTTCACAAATACTCTAAAAAAACGCTTAGATTTATGGATGGACAAAGAGAATGCTTTACCCGACTCTCAGATGGGCTTTAGAAAAGGCCGATCCTGCACGGATGCTATTTTCACGCTTCGTAGTGCTATACAAATCCAATTCCGACACAACGACGGCAGAGAAATCTACGGAATCTTCGTTGACTTCCAAAGAGCGTTCGATTCTGTACCCCATGCACGGCTCTGGCAAAAACTCCAAGCTCTTGGGGTCAGCAGTAAGTTTATAATGACAATTAAATCTTTGTATGATCAAGCGTCGATGCAAGTAAGATCCAAGGAAGGACTATCGGACGAATTTGAAGTCTCTGAAGGCGTATTGCAAGGCGAGTCATTAAGCCCAGATCTTTTTCTGTTATACTTGCATGATATGGAGGATTTCTTTCGCTCCAAGGGACTCTACGGGCTGGATATTAATGGTGTTGTAGACATTCTTTTGCTCCTATATGCGGATGACACAGTTATCTTCGCTCATTCACAAATTGACCTCTTACGCAAACTCAGGGCCCTCGAAGAGTATTGTGATCTAAACCAGCTAACGGTGAATAAAGCAAAGACAAAAATCTTAGTCTTCAAGGCAGCTGGGAGAATACGCGACTGTCCTTGTCGTTACAGAACCTACAAGCAGTCTTGTCTGGAACTGGTCAAAAGTTATACCTACCTTGGAGTTGAGATTTCTACATCAACTAGGGGTCTCACTGCCTTGAACTCAGCCAATAATAAGGCCAAGTGTGCTGCTGGAGCGGCTATGTCTTTGCTAGCAAAAGCCAAGTGTGATTCATGGAGTGCGCATATGAAGATTTACAACTGTATGGTCTCGTCGGTATTTTTGTATGCTATACCAGCCTGGGGTCTCTGGTATAGAAATTCATTGGAACCTGCACAAACTTTCTTCTTCAAGAAATTGTTCAAGTTGCCTAGAAACACGCCAGACTGGGCGGTGCGTTTAGAATTTCGGCTCGACCCAGTTGCACTAAAGGCTATGGGCTTTATTTTGAGCTGGGTGATAAAAACCTTAAAAGCAAAAGACAACTGTCTGCATAAAGTATGTCTGCTCCGACTTATCAACTTAGCAAAAAACACCACTGCATCATCACCATATAACTGGGCAACTCAACTTAGAGACTTTCTGATGGAATGCGACGCTCTTGATCTATTCGATTCTCTAGACCATCAGCTTTGGGAAGCCAGAAGGGAAAATATACTTAAAAAATATCAAACCATCCTGCACAGCGCAGACATTACGGCTGCTCGGAACTCATCATCACTAGAATTTCCACTCCAGCTACCAGACTCATTCTCACCGACTGGGTACCTGGCGTTAAAGCTTCCACTCAACTGCAAACGCTTGATAGCGCAACTGAGACTATCAAATAAGTACAACTGCTTCTTAATAGTTAATAACTTTCGATCAAGTTTTAATAGGAACTCTCCGTGTCAGCTTTGCAACTTGAAAGCACCAGATATTGTTGAGCATCTTCTGGTTAGATGTCCATGCTTTTCAAGCTTCAGACACCACTTTCTACAAAACCTGCTGCGTAACGGCGAATCTGCTTCCCATCTTTTATCTGTACCAGATGCAAAAACGTTGTTTGCTATTGTCAACTTCATCACCAAGGCACTTCAACTCAGAGCCTGGGCTCTGTCATTATAATTGATATTCTCTTCGGTTAAGAGCTTTGTAATACAAATTTCATATATTTTTCATTTTTAACACTGAACCTATATTCTTTTCTAATGTAAATTATATTGTATGAATTCAAATATTTGATCAAATTGTACCAAACTATCTATTTTTTATACAAAGATCTTTATTGTAATAATGTAAACTAAATTGTATTAATTACTAAATACCCCCCTTGCTAAAAACAAATTTGTAATTGTTTAATGCAATAAAATAAATAATAAAATAAAATAAAATAACGTGTTTTTTTTAATATTCAAACGAGAAATCTACCTATCCATGTCGGGTATGGCCGAATGGCGCTTTTTTTACATTTTTAAAGCTAAAAATGAAAATTAATCTAGCTGACATTTGATACTTTTAAGAATTTTTTTTAACAAGTAAATTATAGTAAAAAATAATTAGAAAAAAAAATTGACATGTACCTAGAAGTTTACAAAAATTAATAATGCAATTTTTTATAAATTATTTTTTGGAACAAATTTATTTGTTAAAAAAAATTAAAAAATAGTCAAGTGACTGCTTACTTTAATGTCATAGCTGAAAACAAAAGACTTTTAAATTTAATTAATCACTTTTACTTTATATTCATAACTGCAAATACAATTTTACATTTTATCTATATACATAAAAATAAATTGCTGTGCGTTAGTTTCGCTAAAACTCAAAAACGGCTGGACCGATTTTCAAAATTTTTTTTTGTTTTCGTCGCTATAGTTCAGGGATGGTTTAAAAAAATAAAAATTTTTGAAAAACCCGAAAGTTCAGCTAAAAAAATAAGAAATTGTTAATTTTGAATCGGAATCGCTATTGTTACGCATGAGCCTCAACCATAAGGTTGCAAGATTGTATCAAAATTGTTCAATATGTAGGCAAATACGTACAAGTACACTGCAGAGTTATACTACTTACCTATATTCAGTATAGACTATATTCAGTTTGTAGGACATAACCACAAATCTCAAGAAGAAACTCAAGAAGAATGTTTGTCATTACTTTTGTTTTGTTCGTGTTTATTTTCATATTGTTTATATTTATCTATCTATATAAAAATGAATAGCTGTGCGTCAACTTCGCTAAAACTCAAAAACGACTGGACCGATTTCAAAAATTTTCTTTTTGTTATGTTCGCTATAGTTCAGGGATGTTTTCAAAAGAATAAAATTTTTGGAAAACCCGTAAGTTCAGCTAAGAAAATCAACAGATCTAAAATTGTTAATCGTCTATCTTCTGTATATATGGACAAAAAAAAATTTCATGAATTCAGTGTTGATTTTTTGGGATCTTGATTTTCAGGCAATAATAAGAAGCGAGTTTCATTTAATAACTTGACAAAATTCTAACTGTACTTCATACAGCCAGTATTTATTTTTTATCGAAGTAGATTAGAGTTTAAAGATTGATAATCGCTGATCGAAAGGTGTAACAAAATATATTGTAGGTGATACGAAGTTCACCGGGTCAGCTAGTACATTATAGAAATACTATGTCAGAAATACGTGACTAAAGTTGCATCCGCGTCAAGCGTCTCGGATAGCTCATCTGGTAGAGAGCTTGCCTCGTAACCAATCTGCCCGGGTTCGACTCCCCGGTCGAACTATAAAATATTGTTTTTTTTTTGTTATGTACGTAGTAAAAAATTTCTACTGTGCTTCGTTTTTTTACCGATAAATTACCTACCGATGTAAAAAAGAGAAAAATTCTGATAATCTGCCATATCAATAAGTGTTTTGTCCAACTTCACTAAAAGTTCATATTAAGACTTGTACTACCAGATATTGAGAAAAGTTAAAGTGAATTTCCGGCACTAGATTGTGCATAAGTTAAATTGCATTTTAACGTTAACTTTTACGATTGGATAGCTATCGGGGTTATTTCCGTTTCTTCTTTCTAAATAAAAATAAAATTTTATTACAATTCCTTAACTAATTGATCGAAAGGAACTTCATTCCATGCATCCGGGTGTCCCTTGACACCTCTCAAGTTTTTTTTTTAAATACTTAGGAAAAATATTTTGAACATTTGTGTGTATGTGGGAAGTGTTGCTTTTTTTTTGTTTGAAAAAAGCGTTTTAGCGTTGAGGTTTAAATTAAAATATCTCATAAACTAAGCAAAAGTAGTCGAGACATATTGCGTATGAAATTTAGAAAATTAAATAAAGAATAAAATGTGCCAAACCCGATGTTTCTACGACCAATAGTTTACGAGATATTAATTTTTTAATGAAAAAAAAACACGGTTTCGCTCAAGCACTTATAAACAAATAGCTGTAACTCCACGAAAAATCATTCGATTTCCTTTTTTTATTTTTTTAAATTATAATTATTGTTGTCTTCTATAAGCAAAAAAATCAGCTTAGCTCAAAAAAATTTTTTTGAATTTATTTGAATTATTTTCAGTTTTGTTAACTTGTTAACTATTTATTTGCACTAAAAAAAAATTTTTTTAACTTCCCGCTAAGAAAATTGAAAATTTTCAAAAATCGGGAAGTTATTGGTTTTACTCCGTTTTTCGAAAATCGAGTTTTCAACGGATGTTGACGTCTTGAGGTCCTAGAAAGCCTCCCCGAATGTTTCCGCGGTGATGTCCGTACGTCTGTATGTATGTGTGTGTGTGTGTGTGTTTTTTTTTTTTTTTTTTCCTTTAGGCGGGGGAATCCTTTTTACGGATTCTAAGCATAGTTGTTGGCCTGGATATGTGGCGACTCGACGCAGCGTCATACTAAAACTCGACGCTGACGCCCCTACCCACTAAACCCTAAACCCCTTTCCTCTTTCCTCTATTCCCTCATGGAAACCGCCGTTAGGCATTACTTCGTGGGGGGAGGATATAGCGACTGCTCTTCCTTCTGGTAACTAAGGTATTATTTTACCTTTCTTCTAGTTGTTGTCATTTGCTCTTTTTCTTTCGATGGAACGCAAGGCTATAAGGACTTCTGTTGCAAACGTGTTTGCGGCGTTCCAGGCAGCCTCTGATGACAGCATTGCTTCTACTATTGTCTCTGGTTGGATTTTATTCTTCAGGATCATCTCCAGCTCATC